CCTCCGCGGGACCCGGGACTTCCCGTCCTTCCATCGGAGGAGCCACGGGGGCTGGCGGTGCGAGGGGAGGCGGAGCCTCAGAGTTAGCGGTACCGAGATCTCAGCCCCGCGTGAGGTCTGCAGGGACCTGGGTCTGAATCCTGCCCGCCCGGCTCCTGCCTGGGTGACCTCACGCCCGGTGCTCTGAGCTCGAGCCTCCTCATCTACAAAACAGAGACAATAAACCTGTTTCCTAAAGGGATCCAGAGGTTTGAAAACCCAGTCAATAGAGAGAAAGCCTTGGCACCAAGTAGGTGCTTGATGAATATGTCTCAAAAGCAGCAAGTGACAGTTACCGGTGTATTAATAGAAGTCAATGATAATCGTCACCGACTGTGATCTGGGCACTAAATTCTTTGAAAGCGTTTTCCCATTTAATCTTCCCGCTGGCCCTGGGAGGTGGGTGCAATTATGTTACTCTCATTTTCACAGAAGAGACAACTGAGGCTCATGGAGGCCATCCCTTGGGGAAGGTCTGGCACTCCATAGCCACCGCGGCAGCCCGCAGGGGTGGCTTGATAGAAGCCCCCAGAAATGCCTCCGGGGTTCCCCCTGAATCCTATCCTCCGTGCTTCCTGCATTCTCCCAGAGGGACCTCCTCTTGCACCCAGGGGAGCTTGTGGGGGCGGCACACCCACAGATGTTTGCACGCAGGTCCAGTCATCCCCAAACCCACCCTGGCAGCCAGAGCCTCACACCCGGCCCGGGGTGTGGGGGCTGCCCAGGGTCCACAGGCAGCCCCGTTCGGCAGGGAGAGACACCCAGAAGGAAGAAGGCAGCAAAGCACACACGCCGAGATGTGTACACAGATGGGCCTGCCAGATTCCCACGGCACGTTCCCACAGAGACGCTCAGCCACGGAGGAGCGGCTGTAGTGTTCCCGTCGGGCATGTGTGTATGTGTGACTTCGGGGGTGGAGTGCCAGAGTTCACATCCCAGCTCTGCTCTCTCATTGCGTGTGACCTTGGCCGAATTACTTATATTCTCAATGCCTCAGTTTCCCCATCTGTAAAGGAGGATGATTTTTTAAAAACCCCAGATTCCACTTCATGTTATTTTGAGGATTCAATTCGTGCGAGGTGTTTAGAAAAAACGGTTTGTGTTTAGTGTCGTCACAGTTAGTAATTTCACGCATTTGCTTGTGTCCTCTTTGACTGCATTTTATGAGTGAGGAAATTGAGGCTCAGAGAGGAGAGGGGCCCTGCCTGAGGTCACACAGCTGGGAAGTGTCAGAGTTGAGATTCAAAGCCGTGTGGGTCTGAATCTAGACCCCTTGTGCTCAGCCATTACCTTGTTTGCAGCTGGGAAGTTTGAGGACCTTGGCTGTTGTCGCTGCTGGGAGTGTAGAAGAGTGTGGAGCACTGGACAGGGAACCAGGAGACAGAGAGTCCTCCACGTTCATTCAAGTCAGTCCATGCAGCCATTTGATAGACACTTACTGAGCATCTCCTGTCTGCCAGGCACTGTTCTCGGCACCAAGGGTTCAGTTGGGAACAAAGCTGACAAAATTCCCAGCCTTGGGACGGCTCAAGAGCTAGTGGAGGAGACAGATAGTCATCAAATAACCGCATACAAGGATTGGCGCTATGAAGGAAAGTCCAGGGTGCTGTGCGTTGGAGAAGGAGGTCACAGAAGGCTTCCCTGAGCAAGTGACATTTGAGCTGAGCTCAGAGGGGTGAGGAGGCATAAGCCAGGGGAAGGAACAGCCTGTGCAAGGCCTGGTGGCGGAGGCAGTTCCGCACATTGAGGAGGACTGCTGAGCACATAAGCTCCATGGGGGTAGAACTTAGTTTTGTTTACTGCTGGGTTCCTGCTGCCCAACATGGTGCCTAGGACACAGTAGGCATTCAATAAATAATGATTGGTTGAATGAATGAATGAACAAGTGGATGGACAAATAGAGGAATGGATGGATGGATGGGTGGATGGATGGATGGATGGATGGATGGATGGATGAGTGGATGGATGGGTGAGTGGATGGATGGATGGATAGGTGGGTGGATGGATGGATGAATGGTTGGGTGGATGGATGGATGGATGAATGGACGGATAGATGGAAGGGAGGATGAATGGTTGGGGGGATGGATGAATGAATTAGTGGATAGTTGGATAGATGGATGCATGATTGAATGGGTGAGTTTGCACAAATACCTACAGATTCACATTGCAAATGTGCCTGGAAATAAATGCAGACACACACCCAAAGACATGCACACGTGTGTGTAAACACAGATTCCCCTCTTCTCCTGATGCTCCCCCGAGAGAGAGCACACACTGAGAAGAGAGGTGGGCCAGGCTGGCCAGGACCTGTGTGGACGAGGAAGCAACCCTCCGACCAGGGCTACAGCCGGCCCCGCCCCATTGCGGTGCTGGCGTAACTTCTGGAATAGGAAGAAATGCTGATTCAGGCATTCGCGCCCCAGGCTGCGTGCCAGGCCCCACCGTGGGACAGAGCTGGCTCGAGAGTGATGAAGTGAGTGACAGAAGGAGGCAGGTGGGGCTAAGGGATAGATACAGAGACAGAGACAGAGAGATGGAGAAACAGAGAGATGGGAAAACACAGCAAAGGAGACACAGGAGACAGACAGACAGACACAGAGAAAGAGAGAGAGACACAGAGACAGGCAGAAAAGTATAGAGACACAGAGAATGAGAGACAAAGAAAGTCAGAGACTCGTGACATAGAAATTCAAGTTCAGACACAGAGAGAGATGAGGCAGGGCTCCAGAGAGAGAGATGGGTAGAGAGAGGGGAAGAGAAAGAAAGACACCGAGGAAAATGGAGACACGGAGAGGCGGGAACATAGAGACCAGACTCCAGGGGAAAGAAGAAAGAGGGACAGAGACAGAGACAGAGAGACAGACATAGAGACACAGAGATGCAGAGATACAGAGACACCCGAAGAGGGAAGGAAGAGAGAGCTCCAGCAGAGGCAGCTAAAGCCAGACAGAGACAGAGAAGTGGGAAGGGAATGGCTTTTAACAAGGGTCACCTCTCTGTGTCAGGTCCAGGGGCTTTGCTGCATCTTGCTTTATTTAAGCACCAAGAGCCCTTGAAGGCAATATTATTGGCAAGAGATGAGGAAACCGAGGCTCAGAAAGGGGAAGACATTGGCCCAAGGTTGCACAGCCTGGACGTGGCATTCGTTGCTGGTCTGTTTGACCCCAGAGTCCACGTTTTCTTCTTCACTTCATGTTGCCTCATGAGGACCAAGAGGGACAGGGCAGACGGGGTTAGGGGACACTGAGTGTGGGTCACAGTGACAGAGGGAATTACAGACTTGGTTATTCACTCAACAGACACATTCTGTCTGTCCCTGAGCGGGGCGATGCTGGAAAGCCAGAGATGAGTCAGGAGCCGCTGGTCTGGCGGGGGAGGCAAACACAGACAGGCCCAGATTCCTGAGCAAGACAGATGGGATGGACAGTGTTCAGAGGTCTGGAAAAGGAGCAGATAAAGAACGTGTGGAGGAAGGCGACAGAACACACAACTGCAGCGAGGGGGCTCAGTGGGGGTCAGAGAAGGCTTCCTGGAGGAGGGGGCATTGGGCTTTTTGTTAAAGGATAGGGGCATTTGGGGAAAAGAGGAGCCTGGAAGAGCATTCCAGGCAGAAGGCACAGCATGTGGAGAGTGGAGACAGGGGTAGGGTGGGAAGGATTAATGAAATAAAATAAAAGGTGACTGGAGAATGTTCGAAGGGGTGAGCTGGGAGAGAAGGGTGGCCCAGAGTGTGCAGATCTCAAACGTCTGGCTGAGGGGCTGAACGTTGTCCGGGGAGCCAAGGACCCCTGGCACTGGGGAGCCATGGGAGTGCTGTGAGCCGGGGCAGAGCAGGGTCAGCTCTAGGTGCAGAAGGACTCCTCTGGAACCCTGTGGGGAAGGGAATGAGGGGAAGAAAATGCAGGATGGGAGGGCCAGAAGGAGGCTGGGGTGAGCGTCCAGGCAGGAGAGGATCTTGAAACTTGAGTGGGTGTCGGGGCTGTGGGAACAAAGAGGAGAGGAAGGGGCAGAGAATCAGGAGGCAGAACGGATAGAGCTTGGAAACTGATGGGCTGTGGGGACCAGGTATGCCTGTGCTCCCGGGTATGAAAGACGTCCCCTGTCCCATAGGGATGGACTTGGCAACTGGAAATGGAGAAGGACAGCCTGATGGGGGAGAAAGAGACATGAGGATGATAAAACGGTGTCAGGGCCACAGAGGAACTGAGTCTGGAACTGAGCCTATTAAAGCCTGGACTGTTTTTAATTGCCAGTGACAGAAACTCAAATGACCTAAGCATAAGAGGGAATAAATTGGGCAGATGAGGGCTTCAGGCATGGCTGGATCCAGGAATCTGACTGCCTGCATCTTTGGTCTCTGCTTTCCTTGTGTTGTTTTTGCTCTCAGACAGGTTCTCTACCCATATGGCAAGGTGATGGAACCCAGCATCTCCAACCTAGGCTCCGACCAGCCTGAGAACCTCAGCAGAAAAAGAAAGATCCCTTTTATAACAGGTCCAGTAAAAGTCCAAGGGTTGACTCTGTATCCTAGATTGCTTTTTAAGCTTCCCTCTGAACAAATCACTCAGAAAATCAAGGGGTTGCTACCTAGAAAGCAGGGAACTGATTCTTGTCAAGCGGGAAAAACAGCCAGTCAAGGCAGAGACCATCTGGAAGTGGAGAGAAGAGGACTAGAGATACAGGTAACAGAGACAGAGACGGGGAGGGCAGACAGAATAGCTGGGAAAGTCCAGCCTCCTCTCCCACGGTTCCTGGTGAGAGCTCTGCAGACACAAAGAAAGGGATGTCTGACGGGCACCTATGTGACTAGACCCCTTCGGTCCTGCTCTTGGGGTTCAGGAGCCCCCAGCCCCTCCTCCTTCAGACCCAAGAGTTGGAGCCCCCAGCCGCTCCCCCTTCCTCTGGAGGTGCCATGGCAACCAGCCCCGCCCCCCACCCCGTCCACCTTCCCCTCCCCCGTCTAGAATCCAGTTTCTGTTTGAATCTGGCCTGTGTCTAACCAGTTCCTGCATGACACAGGGATGATCGGAGGGCAAGTGGGAACAGAAGCGGGATGACAGAGGGGAGGGGAGCCAAGGAGCTGGGCAGAGGCAGCTACGAGAGAAGAGAGATGGGGAGAGATGGGAAAAGGAGACTGGGGGGAGATGGCGAGAGAGGCAGGGAGACAGAGAGAGGGTGACAGGGCTTGAGAGGGGCAGAAAACTATGAAGAGAGGGAGGGACCGGGGGCCGGGGAGAGGAAAGTGACAGAGAAGGAGACCTGGGAGATGGAACAAGGGGCGGGGAGAGAAGAAGGGGGGAAGAGGGCAGAGAAATCAAGGGAAAGAGTGGAGGAGAGCTGGGGAGAGAGACGGAGAGAAATCAAGGGAAGGAGAAGGGGAGAGAGGGAGGGAGGGAGCGGGGCAGAGAGATGGGGGGAGAATGAGGAAGAGAGACCGGTAGGGAGGGGTGAGGGAAGAGACCCCAGGATACAGGGACAGACAGAGGGGGAGACAGACGTGTGGGAAGGAAGATTTTGGGACATGCAGAGAGTCCCTGAGGTTAGGGGGACCCAGATCACTATGTGGCCTCCGCCTTCCGGTTCGTCCATAGTCTTTTCCCAGGGCTTCAAAGAGGAGAAGGAGGAGGTGGTAGTGGGGAGAAGGAACTGGGGTGGGTGGCCCAGTCAGAGCTCTTCTCCCCACCCTCCTGAGACACCCCTCACCCGCCTTCCCAGGATGCAGCCAGAGGTGGAGCCCCCGCGCTCCTCCACCAAGGGCCACCCCAGCATGCACAGGGAGGCAGGTACTGAGCTGGCGTCTGTGTGTGTCTGTGTGTCTGTGTATCTGTGTGTCTATGGAGGGGGGAGATTTCCTTCACCCACGAATTGTGTGGGACCCCTGGCTTGCAGTTTGGCCCTAAGTCAGTCACTGGCCTTCCAAACAGAGGGCCACCCCAAACTTAGGTCGACCTGATTTCCCAGACCCTTTGGACCTCAAAACTACATTTCCCATGAGCCTCTGCAGTTCCCCAACCAATGTTCTGGATACAGAACTACATTTCCCATAAACCTCCGGGGCCTCAACTACTCTTCTGAGGCCTTTATCTCCCTAGAACCCCACCCTCTGGTCCCTCACACTCTCCTTGTCACCTGCTCTGAGTTCAGCATCTTCCCCCAAAGCCATTCTCCCTCCCTGCTTCCCATCTTCAAATAAACCCAGTGCCAACCCGGTCCCTGGGCTGGACCTCAGGGGCTGTGTCCTCGTTCCCTCCCACAGCTGTAAGCCCCCAGTCCCATCTTCCTGCCCTCTGACTATCTCTGCCTGTCCCGACCTCTCCATCCCCACGGCCCTGGCTCCGGTCGTGTCCTCTTCCTCCACGTGGACCCTTTCTCCACCTGACTCCCGGTCCTCAGTTTCTCCCCTGCAGCCCATCTCCCATGAAGCTCCAGAGGGGTTTGTCTGACACCAGCTGACAACTTCAGGCTCTTACTCCGGGGCTCCCTGCTTGCTCTCTGCTGTAGCACAGTTCATTCATTCACCCATTCACTCATTCAACATTTACTGAGTGATAGCTTGGTGAGGCTGCATCTGGCCAGTAGGTAATAGAAAATGGGACTTTGTGTAAAGAATAGGAAAGTCATTATCTTACCCAAAAAAGAGGCCCAGAGGTGGGGTGGGGTTCGGGTTTGGTTGAGTCAGCTGCTCAATGATATCACTGAGAACCTAGTTTCTATTTCCCTGCTTTTTGGTCCAGGATACATTCCCCCTTTGCACGCCAGCTTGCTTACCTCATGGTCACAAGATGGCTGCCATAGTTCCAGGCATCACTTCCAGAGGTCCTCATCTTAAGAACCCCCGAATGATCTCTCCTCTGATCTCACTGGCCAGCACTAGGTCACTCGCCTGCTCCCATCTCAATCCCTGGCAACAGGAATGAGATTCTCGTGATGACTTTAGCGAGAGGTCCTCAATTCTGGCTACACATCAGGTGGGAGGATTTTAAAAAAAAACAGCACACCTATACCTAACCCCACCTCAGAAGCAATTTAAGCAGAATCTCTGGGATGGGGGCCCTAGCATTTATAGTTTTTGAATCCCTCTGGGTGATTATGGTGCATGGTAAAGTTTGGGAGACATTGGTTTAAAGTGGATGGAATAACTTCAGAGAACTGGAGATGGGTGAGGCTCCCCTGAGTCGCACGGGGGAGGAACGGATCCTCCTCAAATGGGGGCAGAAGCATGGGAGTGGCTGAGGGGGTCTCCTTTCCCACGTCTGCTCTGAGGACCCCCTCTGAGCCGGATGCCATCCCAGGCACAGCAGACACCCTGAAGGCAAAACAGACACCATTTCTCTGTCCCAGGGTCTCTTTCAGTGTCTTTGAAGCCCTCCTTCTTTTGGAGACCCCACCCCAGCCCATCTCTGCCCTGGACTGAGGCGCCCCCCTGATAAATAGAATTTACGTTTCACTGCAGAAAAGTGGGAGTGGAATGGAGCTGACCTCTTGGCCGGTTTTGCAGACCAGCGCTGGTCCGTGTCCGGCTCGCTGTTTCCCTTGTGCTATTTTGGAACCAATAACATTTGTATCTTATCCACTGCAAACTGTGGCCGAGGCCATTAGAAAGCCAGTGAGTCCCCAGCATTTGGTCTTTTAGTGCCCTAATGAGTGATAGGACCCAGGCTGTTCTCACGCAGAAAGGGCGGCCATGAACCACGCTGCCTCGCAAATAATTAATAACCAACAATTGCCATAATCGCTCCGAAGTCTTGTGGCCGAAGAGAATTCTGGGAAGTTTCTGCGGATGACCATATTCTTTTTTTGCTTAAAACCTTAGCCCGCGGCGGTCCCTCTGCAGGAAACGTCCTTTTCCCTGCCGCTTCTTTATTTGGCAAACTTCTCCTCATCCCTCAGGATTCACTGTGACACCACCTCCTCTGAGGAGCCTTCCCTGATTGCCCCCACACTGGGCCTCACCTGCACCTGGTGACATCTGCATTGTAGCTCATATTGTCCTTTACAGCGACTGGCTCCTCCCCAGACTGGGAGATCCAAGAGGGCAGGGCCGGGTATCAGGCATCTCTCGGTCTCCAGCAGGTTACACGGGAGGCCCTGGAGATGCCTGTTTAAGCTTGAAATTGTTGCATTTACTCAATTTATTCAATAAGTAGCTATTTTTTTAATCTTTTTTTTTTTTTTGAGGAAGATTAGCCCTGAGCTAACATCCGCCACCAATCCTCCTCTTTTTTGCTGAGGAAGGCTGGCCCTGAGCTAACATCCGTGCCCATCTTCCTCTACTTTATATGTAGGATGCTGCCACAGCATGGCTTGATGAGCAGTGTGTAGGTCCACACCCGGGATCCGAACCCACAAACCCCTGGCCACCGAAGTGGAGTGTGTGAACTCAACCGCTGTGCCACCAGGCCAGACCCAATAAGTAGCCATTTTTTAACTTCTATTTTTATTAAGTTATACATATACATTGAAGCGCATATATTAAACTCACTGTTGTAATTTATAAATACTTATTTCTAAGGTCACATTTCACAAGAAACCATTTTATTCACATTTTCTCACACGCATCTTTGATGTTGCTGGAGTCCCTTTTTGAGTCATTTAACACACTTTTTGAGGGGCATGTAATTTTATTCCTAAGTTATTTGTGATAGAAATTTAAAAGATTTTCTATGATGGAAAATTTCGAACACAAACAAAAATGGAGAGAATGGCATGATGAATCTCCATGTTCCAATACGTGACCTCAATAGCTATCAATGTTTTGCTAACCTTGTTTCATCTAGGTCCCCTCCCCTTCACATTTTTTGGGGGATATTCTATAGGGCAAATTTTTTTTAAAGAAAATCCCAGACATTATTCCTTTCCACCCCTCTGTACTTCAGCATGTGTCTCTAATTGCTAAGGATTTTTTAAAAGCTCACCTACCATGCCATAATTACACCTCACAAAGTTAGCAATTTTTCTGGAATATCATCTCATACCTAGTGCTTATTTAAATTTCCCTAATTATTTCAAAAATTGGTTTTTTACAGTTGATTTGTTTGAATTAGGATCCAAAGGCTACACAGTGCACTTGGTAATTACATCCTCTTTTTTTTTTTTTTTTTTTGGTGAGGAAGATTGGCCCTGAGCTAGCATCTGTTGCCAATCCTCCTCTTTTTGCTTGAGGAAGATTGTCACTGAGTTAACATTTGTGCCAATCTTCCCCTATTTTGTATATGGGACGCCACCACAGCATGGCTTGATGAGGGTGTGTAGATCCGTGCCCAGGATCTGAACTTGCAAACCCCGGGCCGCCAAAGCAGAACATGCAAAATTAAGCACTGCGCCACCTGACGGCCCCCCTTTTAGTCTTTATTTTCAATAAATGCGGACGCAGGACGTGGGGGAGATGGACTGTAATTAGAGACTTATGGAAATAGATGTAAAATTGCACCTGGGATGGGAGCGAAGGCGTAGCATCGTGAGTTCATGATAGGACCCTTCCTGGGACACTCAGGGGGCCTTGACTATCTACGTGGGGGGAAGAGGTTTCCAGCTGGAGCGCCAGCATGTGCTAAAGTCCTGCGGCAGGAGGCAGCATGAAGAGGTCAGGCCACAGAAGGGCCGCGTTTCTGGAAAGCGGCAAGTGAGGAAGAGGATGGTGTGTGACCGGCCTTAAGACATCAGCAGGGCCTGATGGGGGTAGTCTTGGGGGTCACAGGAGAACTTTGAACTTAATGTATCCTAAAGACAATGAGATGTCCTGGGAGGGTTTTGAGGGAGGGCGGGAGATATGACTCGATCTATGTTTCAAAATGCTCTTCTGTTTGGATGACTAGAGAGAGAGAGGAGTTAGGGGCTGTTGTCTCGACAAGAGTGGGGCGAGAGGCAGCAGACTGGGGAGACTGAGAATAGAGCCTGGATCCAGATGCCTAGATTTTTATCCTGAGTCTTTCATTTTGGGCTGTGTGACCTTGGCAAGTCCCTTAACCTCTCTGTGCTTCCGTTTCATCATTTGTTAAATTACGGAAGGTTGTCTTGAAGATGCAATGGAAAGTCCTTTAAAAAGTGCTTGGCGTCTTTAAAGGGACCGTAAACACTGTAGTTTCCTAGTTTGTTGACTATAGTTACCAGTTTTGCTAAGTGGACTGATTTGAGAAGGGGATCACCGTGTGGGAGGGATGGAGGAGAGGCTAGGACGGCTGGAGACAAATGATCAGAGAGGTCAGTGGGGAGACCACATTAGGGCAGATGCTTCTCAGAGGGCATCTTGTTAAAATGCAGATTCTGGCCCAGTAGGTCTGGGGAGGGCGTTGAAATGCTGTGTTTCAAAGAAAGTACTTCTCCCCAGATCACACGCTGGAGAGCGAGTCCCCACCACAGGGAGGACCTCATCCTGAAGGCCAGGGGAAGCCGCTGGCGGTTTGTAAACGTGGGGCACTAAGACGAGAAGGTCACCCCAGCTGCTCTGTGGAAACACCTGGGAGGTGGGAGGACGGAGACCCGAGGGACATCCTTACGATGGTACAAGCTAAGCTGTGTCGATGTCCCGAAGCCAAAGACAGCCAGGAGCACGGCTGTGACATAGCCGGGGGCTGCAGACAGCGCGTCCTGGCTCACTGGAGCCAACTGTGGAATTTTGCAAGCTGGTTGTTAAAATCGTGTGTAGCAAGAAATTGGCCACGGGGAGAGAAGTGACACCATAAAAACTGGCAAATGCTGCACATTGTGAGCGTGTGTGTGTGTGTGAAAGAGAGTTGCTAAACATTTGCCAGCACACCGCTGAGTTTATTGACTTGCGACGAGCGAGACCGTAACACCTGGAACGTCTGAGTGAGAGGGTGTCAGCCAGGGCGGACGGGAGCTGGGATGTGCTGGGATGACCTTGGGGACTCTCAGGGAGGCGGGCTGTGCTCTGGACCGGATGCTGGCAGAAGCGGAGACAAGTCCACGAGCGGAACTAACGCCACATTTGAGAAGGAAGCAGCCTCGGCTCTCAGCCGAGAGGGGGATGGACGTTCGGTCCATCTTGTAGTTTGGGCGGAGTTCATGTTCTCTGGTGTCGAGACGCCACTCCGGAGTGGTCTTTTTTAAATCTCGGTCCATCAGGGTCACGGGGTGTGTGGCCTTGGCTGATGCTGGGGTTCTGTCAAGTTGTTCACGTCCTGGGAGTGTCAGGCCAGCTCCTGGCTGTCAGCCTTCTGCTGGCTCAGCTGCTGTAACAAAGAGACCCCCCAAACACCATGGCATGAAGAGGACAGTTTCTTCCTCTCTCGTGTGTAACCGAAGGCAGGAGGTCTGGCTCGGAGGGACCTCTCAGCCCCAGGAGATGATGTAGGGACCCAGCTGGGCACTCTCCATGTTTTTGCTCCACCATCCAGCAAGGGTGAAGCTGCCTTCTTGCTACACCTGCATTCCAGTCCAAGGGAAGGGGCAACGAGTCTAAGACAAGCCATCTTCTTCTAAGCAGATGACTGCAAAGTTGGCCCCTGCCTCCCACTAACACTGTCGGGAGAACTTGATCACGTGGCCGCACCTAGTTGCAAGGGAGGCTGGGAACTGTTCTCTCCAGATGGACGACCGTGTGCCCGGCAAAACTCTAGGACCAGGAGGCGCAGTGGTTAAGTTCACATGTTCCGCCTCTCTGCGGCCCGGGGTTCGCCAGTTCGGATCCCAGGTGCAGACATGGCACCGCTTGGCAAGCCACACTGTGGCAGGCATCCCACATATAAAGTAGAGGAAGATGGGCACGGATGTTAGCTCAGGGCCAGTCTTCCTCGGCAAAAAGAGGAGGATTGGCAGCAGTTAGCTCAGGGCTGATCTTCCTCAAAAACAAACAAACAAATAAACGAAACTCTAGGACCAGAGAGGAAGGGGAAATGGATTATGTGGGACAACTAGGAGTTGGCTATAAGAGAGACCAGTTAGCTGAGGTTGGGGTTGTCTGGAAAGGCCCAGATGTGACAGCTGTTACCAGTCAAGTTCCAATCAGGAGGCTGGCTCTGAGTGTTGGAAAAACCCACAAACTGGCTTCAAACGCTGGAGCAAAGGGACACGATGCAGTGAAGAAGCAGCGAGGCTGGGGTGGCTGCAATCGCGAGCAAAAAGGGGCGTATCCCCACCCCTTCCTCCTGCCTTGCAGTCTCCCTCGAGCGCCCCCTTTAGGCAGAGCCTAATAGGAACCCAGCTGTCAACGCAGAAATGGGGTTGGTAGCTCCCCCATCCTGGTATCACGGAGCCGGTGTAATAGGGTGGAGCTGGGACCCCCAGAGACAACAACTTAATAACTGGCATAAGACCTATTCTGGGGTGGCATGGACAGCACTTGGTGAGGTCGTTTAAGCCGAATAATGTCTGAGGAGTGCTCAGGGCAGCTGACACTGGGTTCTCCGTCCCCAGGAGCCCTCCTTGTGGACCTAGGGACCCCGGAGGAGCTTCAGACTTGGAGCCTGGGCAGGCCGGGCAAATCCTCGTGAGTGGACCCCGGCCCCGTGACTTCTGACCTCAGCTCCCCCGAGGGCGATGGCAGCGACCCCTGACCTGGGAGGTCCCTGCCTGCTCGCTCTCTCGCCAGGAAGCAGTACCTGCGCCAGGTCATTGCAGAATACGAGGCGCTGGACCGAGAGCTGCCGTGCATCCGGAAGTTCCCCACGCCCCCCGCTGCCCAGCCCCTCTGCCTGTGCATGGAGACCTCTGTGAGTGGCCCCCTGCCCCTGTGGCTTTGGGCGGGATGGTGGAAAGGACACAGGCTCAGAATCGAGGTGGACGGGGTTTGAATCCAGGCTCTGTGGCCAGGACAGGTTGCTGGAAACTCATTGCGAATTTCTCAAAGGGTCAACTGACAAATCTATCACTGCTGATCCCAGAGGGGAGACCAAGGGGCAGAGAGAGGGGGAGAGTGAAAGGCAGAGAGCGAGGAGACTGAGGACAAAGACAGTCCTGCTAACTCACCTACTATGAAATTCTGTAACTTTTGCAAATACAGCAAAGACCCATAAGGCAAAGGCCAAGTTTTTGGCAGATTAGCGAACTGGTCATTCAGCGCATGAATGCTTTGGCAAGCCCTGCCCTCAGTCAGAGGCGGTGTCTGTTAGGGTCTCACTCACGTGAGAATTAAATGAGAGGAGCAGGCATTAATGTGGCGCTTACTGTGTGCCAGGCACAGGCTCAGTGGCGCCCCCTCAGCTGATCTGTGAATTTACCCCAAAACGGGGATTGCTGTCCTTGTTTTAGGGACCAATCCCCACCCCACTGCTCCTCTTCGTGGTTTTGAACGTGGGACCCCGTCGCCCCACACAGCCCCAAGGCTGGCCTTCCCGGAGGTGACCAAGTTCATGATTTCATTTTAGTCCCTCAGCAATTTCATATGCTATGATAAGTTTCACCTCCGACGTGTCACCTCGTGCTGAAAATGCGGTTAGTGATCCACATGTTTCCGAATGTTAAATAGATTGACAAGAAGTCAGAACCCCAATGATCCTGATTTTCTGACAACTGAACGTTCCTTAAAATGGTAATATGAATATCAAAGAAAAAATGTATGACTTAAATCCTTGCAGAAATCCTCAAGAGCTGCCAAAAGCTTGCCACCCAGAGCAGATTGCTAGGAAAGTTCTCAGTAGATTGGTAAAGTCGGCACATTGGTGAATCATTCGGCCAACTGTTCATTGACTTTTTGACAAATGGGCTTGGTGGAACTGATTTTTTGGAGAATGACCTCGAATGACAGTAGATGCTTTTCTGTCTGAGATGCCTGTCTTCCCCGCTCTGACAAGAGCGACAGGACCCTGGGATCAACTGTAATCCTTGCCCCTCAAATGCCCCCTGGGACTCTGGCAGGTTCTGCAGGTGCGGTCTAGGGCGGGACTGAAGCGGGGTGCTCGGGTCTGAGGCGCTCTCTCCGACTCCCCCAGCCCGAGGAGGACCTTACCCACCTGGAGGTGCTGGAGGCGCTGGAGGCCGAGTTACCTGGGGCCATGGAGAGCGGGCGCGTGAGCAGCATCCGCTTTGAGAACATGAACGTCATCTGTGGGACTGCGGGACGGCGGGACAGGTGAGCCCGCGGCGGGGGCGGGGCCTGGACGGACGGGGGCGGGGCTTAGAGGGACAGACGAGTGGGCGGGGCCTGGGGCCTGGGCCTGGAAGGACGGGGAGGGGCGGGGCGGCTGTGAGACAGGGCGGGGCTTAGAGGGACAGACAAGTGGGCGGGGACTGGGGACTGGGCCTGGAAGGACCGGGAGGGGCGGGGCGGCTGTGAGACAGGGCGGGGCTTAGAGGGACAGACAAGTGGGCGGGGCCTGGGGACTGGGCCTGGAAGGACGGGGAGGGGCGGGGCGGCAGTGAGACGGGGCGGGGCTTAGAGGGACACACGAGTGGGCGGGGCCTGGGGACTGGGCCTGGAAGGACGGGGAGGGGCGGGGCGGCTGTGAGACGGGGGCGGGCCTTGAGGGACCGAGAGGGGCGGGGCGGCGGTGAGCGCGATGAGGAGGCGGGGCCGGGAGTGAGGGCCGTGAGGGGTGGGGTCTAGTGAGCGCGGCGGGGAGGGGCCGGAGTCAGGGCAAAGGAGCTGAAAGAGCGGGAAAGAGAAATAAAGCCGGGGGGCGGGGCCTGGGGAGCCCCGGGAAGTGTCTGATTGGTTTAAGGGCGGGGCGACGGGACTGAATGAGAACCAGGAAGGGGCGGAGCCGAGAATGAGCGCGCTGAGGGGCAGGGCCAGGTGAGATCAGAGAGGAGGAGGGACCTGGAGAGGTGCGGGGATGGGCAAGACCGAGGTGTGGGGGCGGAGCCCGGGAAGGAAGCTACGAAGGGGCGGAGCCTGGACTGACCACATTGTAGGGGCGGGGCCAGGAGTGATCAGATGGGCAGGGGCCTGGAGCATCTAGTCGGGGGCGGGGCCTAGAGGCACTTAGATCAGGGGGCATGTCGGAGAGCCACACTGAAAGGGCAGGGCTGGATAAGGAAGGGAGTGGGGCCGGGAGCTGCGGGGTGAGAGTCGAGCCCTGGAGCGGCAGTTTGAAAAGACGGAGCTTCGACTGACCTCCATCAGGGGATGGAACCAGGCCGAGAGAGAAGACCGGGCCTAGAATGACCCAGGTGAGGGTCAAAGTCAAGGTTGACCTCGGCGAGAGGGCAGGGCTGGAGAGTTTAGGAACGGAGTGACGGGTTGAAGGACTAGACAGGGACTCTGCCAATCCAAGGCGGGGCCGGGACCACGAGCGATTCCCCTTCCGTCTCGCCCCGCCCCTCTCCCTTGGCCCCTTCCCCTCGCAGGTGGCTCATCACGGTCACGGACTTCCAGACTCGCTCGCGCCTGCTGCGCTCGGGGCTCCGCCTCCGCGGGCTCGCGCACCCGCTCGTGCGCCACGACGAGCTGCTGCTGGGCGACTACCGCCTGCACCTGCGCCGCTCGATGGTCCGACGGCGCATGCTCGAGGCTCTGGGGGCGGAGCCGACCGAGGAAGATTGACGCGTGGGGCCGGGCCCCGGCTGCGCTTGCGCACCGTCCAGCGGGCTCCGGCTCCCCTCCCAGAAAACCCCGGAGGGAAGGGGGCGTTGCCTCCCCAGGAAGGAGGCGGGACCGGCTCGAGGGGGTGGATACTGTGAGTTTAATTATAAAGAATGACCTGGTACAAAAGCCATTTCTCTCTGCAAAATCTTGGTGGGGACTCAGGGGGAGGGAGGTGATGGGGGGTAGGGACGAACCCCCATAATATAATCCCGCCTCCCTAATTTTCCCCCAGTTCCTGCAAGTAGACGCCTGGGTCCCAATCCCTTGAGGGATGAACTAAGGCCCGCGAGAGGGAAGCCCCGGTCTCTGGGACTTTCAACGCGTGCCGATCCCGGTCTCAGCGAGAAACGCACGTCCTCCTCCGCCCCCCTCCTCTTCCACCTCCCACCCCCCTTGGAAGACAATTCTCGGGCTTTTATTTCAGGTTTTTTTCTGGATTTTTTTTGTGTGTGTTCTAGGGTTCTTTTTTTTTTGTATTTTTTTGTTATTGTTCCTCTTTTTGCTTTGTCTCTCCTCTCCGCCCCGCGCTGCCCCCCATCCAGTCCCTTCCCCCTCCCCACCCAACGGCTCCTCCCCCCTCCCCACCCCCTACACCCTCCCCAACCCCGCGGCACCCATCCAGAATGAACAAGCCCTTTATAGACAGGCGCCGCGCAGGCCCCCTGCGGACGGGGGGCATCCGACAAGGGGGAGGGGGCGGGTAGGGGCCCAGCTCGACCTCCGCTCCCCTCCTCGCCACCCCTCCCCCCTCCCACACCCTCCCACAAGGTTCCCCGCAGATCCCTGACGTGGTGAGGGGAGAGGGCTGCAAGCGCCCTCCCCCCATGGACGGAGCGCTCCCCCTCGAGGGTAGGGGGCAGCAGAGGGGGAATGGGCTTGGGGGAAGGAGGGGGAGCTCCCTTCTTTGGCAGCTGAACATGGGGGGGACCTGAGGGCGATGCCCTCCCCCCTTTACCCACAGTAGGGGAGGGGGCTCCGCAGGGGGAAGGGGTGGCTTAAAATTCCCAAGCCCCAGGAATAAAGGCGGGGGGGGGGGGCGGGCGCGGTTGAGGGGGACGCGTGCGGGAAGGAACAGCCATGCTGGAGGGGGAAGGAGTTTCTTGGAGAGGCGGAAAGGTTAGGGGGACAAGGGGGATCTTCGTGCAAAATGGATGGACAGATGGCCCAGGAAGGACTGGGAGGAGTGAGAGGAGGGAGGTGGTGCAGAGAGCAGAGACGGGAGCAGGGGGAGGAGGAAGTCTGGAGGGAAGAGGAGCAGGAACAAGGTGTGCATAGGGTCCTCTCTCACCAGAAAGAGACCCGAGTGTGAAGCGGAGAGAGAACAGGCGGAGTGGGAATGTCTGCAGGAGCTGTTCCTTCGCAGAGACAACAAATAAAGGAACCAGGACACACAGCCCAAGAGTGTGTGGAAGGAGACGAGTGGGCAAAAGGAAAGAGGTGGTGGGGTTCCCCGGAGGGAGAGGGAAGAAGTCACCCAGGAGCTGACAGAAACAAGTGGAAAGGCAAGGATGAGTGTGCAGCAAAGCCACGCTGTGCAAGGACGTTGTTAAGAGAAAGAAAATGGCCTCAAGAGAGCCGTGGAGGTGCCGGGGGGATGAGTGTGCAAGAGTGAGTGTGCAAGAAGGTTCACAAAAGAGTTAAGAATGGAGCTGCACAAAGATTTGGAAAAGAAGCGTGGAAGGAAGTGGGAGCTGGCGAAGAGGAGAGGAACCTGTATTTGAGAGAGAAACGGTTCCTGGGAGGCCCGGTGTGCAAGATGTGTGATAAGAAGGGACAGTGCGAGGGGGGCGGGGCAAGGAGGGGCGTGAGAGTGTCACTGAGAGGGAGACAGGTCAAGAACAAGGAAGGAAAGTGCTTCAAGGAAATGGAGGCAAGCGCGCAAGAGAGGGGCGCGGGACAGCAAGTGTGCAAGGGCTGGAGAAAGAGAAGCGCATTGCAGAGAATAAATCCATGTGCACAGAGTCCGTGAGTGGGTTGAGGGAAGGGGTGTCCCAAGTGTGTCTGCAGCAAGGGTCCAGAGATTTTCAGAAGGGAGGGGTGTCAGGGAGGGTGCCAAGGCATGAGTGTGTGAGCGAGAAGCGGACAGAGCAGGAGCGTGGAGCGTGGGCAGAGAAATGTGATGTGCACGAGAGCAACGGCGTGTGTCTGAGAGCTGGAGGGCCTCGCGAGCTGGAAGCGAAGGCGGAGTGTGCAAGACAGCGAGAGGGCAAACTTGTGCAAAATCGTAGCCCAGGGAGGGGAGAGAGGCGAGCAGGCGTGCAAAGGAGCGTGCAAGAGGCTAGGGGCCTGCTGTGTGTGCTGGGGAGAGGGGAAGGCGGGGCGAGCCGAGGGGCCTGGCGGGGGGAGGGTGGTAGAGGGGCGGCAGGTGGTGGAATCTGAGGGCACCCCTTCCCTGCGGCCTGGGGCACGACCCCCATCCATCAGGCTTAGGGCTCACCCTCTATGGCTCTGGCTGTCCCCCCACTCCCCAGAATCGACCCTTCCCTCCTTCTCCATCCCCCTCTGTGATTTTTCCAGCCCCCCCTCCACTCCCCGCTTCACACACGCACACAATCTCTTGTCAGCTGCCCCCTCCTTCGAGGTGCAAATGTCTGGCCAGGATCAGGCCACCTGGTGACCTCCGGTGGCCTTGGGAGACGAGGGCAGGGCGCAGTTTTAGCAGAGTCCCTGGCCCAGGGGTAAGAGAAAGACGGTCAGGGGTCAGAGATCAAGAGGCCAGCAGGCTCCCGGGTTCTTGGACGGGCTGGTCCGTCCAGGCCAGCCATCACCTCTCCAGGAAAAACTTGAGAGCCCGGTCGATGTTCATGCGGTGGCCCACCCTGGTCACCCCCAGATCAACGTAGTCCTCCTTGGTCAAGGCGGGCAGGTGGGAGCCGTCGATCTCGTGGTCCAGGAACCGGGCCCGGTGCTCGGCCAAGCCCAGCCACTCGAGCCAGTCAGCCACGTCGAACTTGGTCCAGAACCCCAGAGGTTTAGCGCCGAACGGCTTGTCCGGGGGCAGCGAAAGCAGGCGCGTCGGCGAGAGGGAGCGCGAGGCCCCTGACAGAGCTCCCCCGAGACCCCCGGACATCCCGGGGTGCGGTGGCACAAAGACAGGGGCGAAGGGGTCGGCCGAGCCTCCTGCCCCTCCGGTGGGGGAGCCGCGGATGTCAAAGAGACCCGGATAGAGGGGTCCGGAAGGCAGGATGGGCAGGGACGAGGGCCGGGGCGCAGGGCTGACCTTGTGCTCCGAGGCGGGCAGCAGCGAGGGGCTGGGCGCCCGGCGGAGCAGAGGGGGCCGCATCTCGAACTCCACGCCCTGGAGGTGGCGGCTGGACGTGGAGGAGGAGGCTGAGGGCGAGGTGGCCCCGGGAGCCGCAGCGGCGGAAGGGGAGACCCCACTTCCGGCGGGGAGTGGCGGCAAGGGTGGTTTGGGCCAGTTCTGAAACAGGCTGCTGACGGGTTTGGAGAGGAGCGAGGACTGGGAGTCTTCGGAGAGTCTGGAAGGTGACAAGGGGGCAGGAGGGAAGGAGGGGGTTGGGGGAGGGGCGAGGGCGGGATGAGAAGGAGGCAGAGGTCAAGATACAGGGAGAGAGGACGAGAGACGGGGCGGAGGTGGAGATGGAGGACAGCGATGGGAAGAGATGGAAGGAGGGAGGGGGCAAGACGGATGTCAGGACAGAAATGAAGGGAGAGAAAAATGAGAGGACAGGGAGAGGGTGACAGTCAAGAGAGGTGAAAGAAAAAGAGACATTAAGTGATAATAATATTAATCGCCACCACTTACTGATGCTCACGTGTGCCAGGCATTGTTCCAAGTGCTTTACATATCACATCTCAATTTAATCCCCATGGCAGCCCTGATGCAGGTTACTATTATTATCATCATCATCAGCAGCACAGAGAGGTTAAGTAACTTGCCTAAGGACACACAGCCAGGAAGTGGCAGAGCCCAGTTATATGGCACCAAAGTCTGAGCTCTTAACCACTACTCTATACTGCCTTTCGGGTTATGGCCAGTCACAGCAGAGTGGAAGACAGGGAGACGGTGAGAGAGGAACAAAAAGAGTGTGAGCATTCAGGGGAGAGAGATGGAAGGGGGCAGGGAACAGAGAGAGAGAGAGATGAGGAGAGGGAGATGAAAGAGAGAAGAAACAAGGGGAGAAAAATGTTCCCCTCATCCCTTTAGCTCCCTCCACAACAGCCCTGCCTCAGGGCCTTTGAACTGGCTGTTCCCTCTACCTAACTCACTCTTCAGCCACATACCCAGGTGATTTGCTCCCTTTGCTCCCTCCGCTCCTCCCATCTCTGCTCACCTTGCTGGTTATTTGAGAGACCTTCTCTGCCCATCCTATTATTGTGGGGTTTTTTTCTTCCTAGGATGACTCCAATTATTTTCTTTCTTGTCTGGCCCCCACCCCAGCCTCATTAGACCATGAGGTCTCTGAGGGCAGCATTTTGCCTGCCTCGTCCACTGTGGGGTCCCTCTCACCCAGAAGGAGACCCAACACATAGTAGGTGATAAATTAATAAGTGGTGCATCTGTCCACCCCATTATGTCTCCTCTCCTCTCCCCAGAGTACTTTTAAGAATAATCAAGGAGTTGCCTTAAGATCTCAAAGGCCTGGGAAAACCACATTTGAAGATCAACCATAAGGCCCTCAGACCCTCAAACAGAATTTGAACTCTACAGATCGTCAAGGGGATGAAAAAAACCTCTCCCCACTCTCTCTGTGTCAGAATGGGGAAGGCGACTCCGCTTTCCCTAAGACTGAAAGGTCTCGAATGAGCTGGAACTTCGTGGCGATCCCAGCTGGCTAGTGGATTCCGGAAATGTCTGCATCTTCCCTCATTTCCCCATCTCTGCCCGCTGGGTGTTTCTAAGAGGCCCCTCCCTTCCTACATCTCATGTTACAACAATGGCCCACATTTAATCCTCACTGAGACCCTTTTAGGTGGGTCCTATGCCATCCCCCTTTCTACAGAGAGCCAGATTCCTTTGCCTCAGGTCACCCAGTTAGACAGTGCAGGGCTGGGAGCGGGACCCAAGAAGCCTGGCTCCAGAAGCACACGCCTAACCACTGTGCCCGAGAGCATCGTGTCCTGACCCACACTGGGTTCAAGGGACTTGTAGGTTCCAAGGACTGAACCCACCAAGAACCAGACACCAGCAAGTTGTGTGCTCTGGTCTCCTTTGTCAAGAATTCTTTTTCTTCCTCATGGGACGTGGGTTGTCATGGTGACAGGAGGACACCACCGAAGCTACTGAGATAAAGGGAAGTTTAAGGTGTCTGTGAAAGCATGTTTCTTGGAGGATGAACTTCCACAAGCCAGCCTGGGTTCTGTTTCCTTTCTGCCACCCGGGCCCCTAAAGGGACACAGCTATGGGGGAGGCGGATTCTGGTACCCACAGCATCGGCCCCTCTGGCCTCCGTTGCCAACCACCGGCCCCTGCTCACCTCTGCCGCTGCAGGGAAGAGGTCCTCTCTGGGATGTAGCTAGCTCCCCCGTGGTGGCTGTCCCCGCTTCCCCCGCTGCCTCCCCGGGCCCAGGGCAGAGCGCCACCAGCCGCCGAGGAGCCTCCAAATTGCTGAAGCTTGGAGCTGAGTTCACTGATGATGCTGGCTTTGACTGTGGCCAAGGCTGAGGCCTGAGGCTGGGCCAGGGGCCCGGGCAGGGGTGGTGGCGGGGGGCCCGGGCCCTCCTCCCAGGGCAGCAGCTTCCGGGGCAGAGAGGAGGCCGACGGCAAGGGCACTGATGGGCCTTCTGGCTCCACAGCCACCGGACCCCCGGCCACGCCCACCGACGAGGGTCCCGGGCAACCACTCAGGGCCAGCAGCCCATCGGTTCCAGCCCCCGTCACCGAGACCGTGGGGCTGGTGGGAGTGACCGCGTCTCGGAGTCCCCCACTGGGGCTGGGCCGCAGGCCTCCACTAGCCCCCAGCGCCCGTCCCCGGAGCTTGGAGGGAGTCATGAGCTGCGGGGGGTACGGTGGGCCCGGAGTTCCGCTCCCTCCGAAGGCCTGGCCGTCCAGGTAGGCCACATACGTGTCCAGAAGCTCCGTCCCACTGGCCACCCCGGCCCCACCCCCAGCGCCACCCGCCCCTGCGGGGCCACCGCCTTCGGCCGACAGGCTGCTCAGCGTGGACGCACTGCTGATGGTCTCCAGAGGGTGGTCGCTACTGCTCCGACTGTCCACCTCCTCGATACCAGAGTCTGTGCCAGGCGGGGGGTCCGGGCCAGGCTGGGGGGCGGGGGGAGCCGGTGCGGCTGGGGCTGGTGGGCCTGGCGGAGGGGGGTCCCCGGCAGCAGCGGGGGCCCCCTGGGTTAGTGTGGCCACCTCACTGTCGTAGGAAGTCAGGCTGGATGCGGTGGAGTCCAGGGTGGGAGGGGCGGCGGCGACCGCAGGGGGCGGCACAGGGGGCAGCGGGGTGGTCGGGGTGGGTGGGTCCGGCAGCGGGTGGGGAGGCCCAGGCGTGAGGGGCGACTCGGGCTTCTCGAAGCTGTTGGAGAACTCGAGGGGCGGGGGCAGCGGTTCCACGAAGAGGAATTCGCCATCTTCCACATCCACCGAGGGCGCGGGGGGCGGCAGGACGAGCAGGGGAAGCCCGTTTTCTTCGCTGCCCCGCGGGGAGGTCGGCGAGGGGGGCACGGACCGGCGCGGGCTGGGCGGCGGGACCCCCGGCCCGTCCTCCGAGGGGGGTCCCCTTCCACCCGCCCCACTGGCCCGGGGCTGGCAGTTCTCGAGGAACCGCACGTGGAGGGGCAGCCGCTCGGGCTCCTCGGGGGCTCCGGCCCTCCAGGCCTTGCTCACCCCGGGGTGCGGGGCGGGGGGCTCCGGCCCCAGCTGCAGCAGGAGGGGCCCGACCCCAGGAGCCGTGGGGGGCAGGCGGTGCAGCAAGGAGCGCCGCGCGGCCGGTGGGCTGGCCGGCAGGGACTTCTCCTGGCTGCCCAGCCCCGCCCGGTACCCCAGCTCCCGGCGGGCGGGGTCCGGCGGGGGAGCCCCCCAGAGACGCAGCACCGGCTCATGGTGGGCGTGGGGCGAGTGATGGTGAGGAGTGGGCGGCGGGGCCTCGTAGCGGGGCGACGGGGGCCTGGGAGGGGGCTGGGGGGGCCCCCCGCCCTCCGAGGACTCCTTCAGCGCCCGCTCTCGGGCAGCCAGGGCCAGCCCGAGCGGGGAGGCTGGGTCCAGGGCCTTGCCGGTCAGCGGGTGGACCAGGGGCCGGGGCGGCAGGAAGCTGGTGAAGGCGCTGCTGCCGCCGCTCGCCCCGTAGGCGCGGCCGCCGGCTCCGTAGGCCCCGTAGCCCCCGCCGCCGCCGGCGCTCGCAGCCTCCAGCCGGAGGTAGGGCTCGGCGGAAAACATGCCCTCGTCGATGGACTTGGAGTGCCGCAGCCGGGGACCCGGGGGCGCCCCTGCGCCCAGCGCGCCCTCGCCGCCCTCCTCGTCCCCCGCGTCGGTGGAGAGGAAGAGCGTGGAGCGCCGGCGGGCTTCGTTCTGCCAGCCCCCCTCTCTCCGGGCCGCCCCCACCAGGGCCGCCCCGAACTGGCTGGTGAAGTCGAGGGTGGCCGGGCCGCTGGGCGACGCGGGCGTGGGCACGGGCGAGGGGGACGGCGGCACGGGGGACATGGCCGGGGCGGGGCTGGGCGCGGAGGAGGAGCCGCCGGCGGGCTCCGGCTGGCTGGGGGGCTCCGCCTCGGTGCTGCTGCCCTGGCTGCTGCGGCCGCTGCTACTGGTGGACGGAGCCTTGATGATGATGGTGGGGATGGGGATGGAGTTCTTCTCCGACGGGGCGGCCGCGGCCGGCGGTGGCGGCTGCGGGGACGCCGGGGAGGTGGGCGACGGGGCGGGCGGGAGGCCGGCGCCCTTTTGGGGTTCGCCCTCGACTTTGGTCTGCTTGACCAGCGGGCCTTTGCGCCCGCGGCCCGAGCGCGCGGGCACGTACATGGCCGCGCTGGCCGCCCGGGGAGGCAGCTGGAAGTAGCGCAGGGCCGGCGTCTGGGAGGGGCCGCCGCCCGCGCCCCCGCCGCCGTGGTGGGACGGCGACGGGGCCCCCGGGGTCGGGCTGGGCCCGCCGCCCCGCCAGCCCCGCAGGCTGGGCTGGGGCCCCAGCGCCAATCGCGGCGGGGGGTCGTCGGGGGAGCCACCCGTCTCCATCTCCGGGGGGTGAGGGGGGTGGGCGTGGTGGTGGTGAGGCTGCGGAGGCGGAGCGTGGTGGTGGTGATGGTGGGGCGGGTGGTGGTGGGCAGGGGGCAGGGGCCCGCTGTGGTACAGGCTCTTCTCTCGGCCCCCTAGGCGGGTGTCAGGAGGGGTGGGCCCATCAAAGGATGCAGGGGAAGAGGCGGGCAGGGGACCTCCCGAGCCGGGGTTGAAGGGCCCTCCCCGGGGGGAGGGGGTGAGGCGGCCGGAGGAGGAGGGGGCCGGAGGTGTGCTGTAGGGGGGCTCCGGTGGGGACGTGGTGGGCGGCGGGGGGATGTCCTCCGAACCAGGCACAGAGAGGCTGCGGCTGAACTTCATGGCTGGGGGCGCTAGGTAGGGTCTATCATCTTCTGCAGCCCCTGGGGAGACATAGAGGATCCAGGAGCCCGGCCTGGGGTGGGAGGCCTTCCTTGCTCCACGATCCCATAGAACTCCAGTATCAATAAAATAATAATAATAATAATAGCAGCACCCAGTACATGTTAAGAAGAACTTCACACAGGTTAATCCAGAGCTTCCCCAGCTGTGAGAAATCCCAATCCTGCTAGATATCGTAATACAGGTTGTGCACTGCACAACAGCAAACAGCAGAGAGAGCAATGGGGTTGAGGGGGCGAAATTCAGCTGAACTTCCTCCCCAGGCCAGGAGGGGGCGCCTTTTTTCTAATTTGCGCAAAGACACAGTCTATGCTGGAGGTGGCTCTGGATGAACCAAAGTGGCTGGAGCCGGGACGAGACACCGTGTCGATGTGCACGGGTCCAAATTTCTTTTCATGTTTATGCAGAAAAGAAATATAAGGAGCACATCCAACCTGTGATTTCACACACAGATGAGGCTACTGTTTAAAAGAGGGAGGCGATCTATCGGCGAGCGATATTAGGTAAGTGAAGAGAGATGGACAGACCTAGAGATGGCGGACACTGAGAGTGGGGGAAAGGCTGGAATCCAATCGGCAGAACAACTCAGAGAGGACCGGAGGAGTGAAGACTTGCCTGCTTGTCACCATCAGGCTCAGTCCTTGACCCTCCTTTCGCCTCTGACCGCTCTCTCCCTGGATGGTCTCAGCCAGCCTCGTGGCTCCATCGCCAGCTCTCTGCTAAAACCTCCCACATGGGCCTGGGGCACAGTCCTCTCTCCTGAGCTCCAGGGGCCTCCATCCAAATGCCACATCCTCTTGGTCACCTCACTGGCCTCTCACACTTGGCAGGCCCAAACTGACCTCCTTGTCTCCTCCCCAGCCCATGGTCTCCCGCATCTCAGCGGAGGGCAGCTCGGGCTTGCCTCAGGACCTTTGCACTGGCTGTCCCTGCTGCCTGGAAGGCCTTCCCTCCAGATACCCCCATGGCTCCCTGCTTCCTCTCCAAATTTTAGCTCAAGCCTGCCCCCCACCATCCCCTGATCCTTTTTTTTAACTCTACTTTTTTTTTCCCATAGCACTTTCCACTGCTAACATACTATATAATTTTCCTGTTTCTCCTTAGAATCCATGGTCTGTCTTCCCCTGCTGGGAGGTAAAGTCCATGAGGGCAGGACCTGTCAGTGTGTTTTGTTCACGGATGTATGCCCAGGAGTCTAGGACAATGTCTGGCTTATAGTGGGTGTTCAAAGAACTTTTATAGAATGAATGAATGAATGAATGAATGAATGAATGAATGGAATCAGGTATGAGAGAAGGGACTAGGGTCTGTGGCAGGGGATTCAACTCACTGCATCCAGACATGCGCAATCATGTTCTCATTTTCTACATACAGAGCCCAGATGCAAGGCCCAGAGACATGAAGCCGCCTGCCCCAGGTCACACAGCTGGGACGACAAGAGCCAGGATTCAAACCGAGGTTGCCTAGCAACCAAGCCTGCGCTCTCTGCCCAATCTGATGGAACCGTGGTCACATAGGGAAGGAGAAGAGAACATTTCCAGCATCCCTTGTCTCCCCCGTAACCACCACCCTCCCAGCCTCCCCCTCCCCCACCAGCATCCCTCACACCCCTCCGGGTGACATACCGATAGATTTTTGCCGGAGCATAAGGCCAGGTCCTGGAGGCAGGTAAGAAGGACGTTCGTAACTTGGCTGGGAGCGGTGGTGGGGATCGAAGCTCGACTTTGGGGTGGGAGTCAGGGGCAGAGAGAGAAAAGATAGCAGAGACAGATCAGACAGGACCCCATCCTTCCCCAGGCCTCGGCAGGAAGGGAGAGGGGCGTGGAGGAGCTGGAAGGGAATTCTGGGGGAGGCAAAGGTCTCTGAGTCGGGTGGCGGGGAGAAAGAGAGGAAAAGAAAGCCACTCATCAGTGGACCCTGTTTGCTCTGCTTCACAGACTGATCACTCATCTGGGCCCTTTGCTCCATTCCTGCCGTCACTGCCCAGGTCCCAGTCACCACTGTCGATGGCCTGGACAACTGCAGTAGCCTCTCCTCTTGTCCCTTTGCTGCCCCCCCCCCCATCATTCCCTCACCCCTTTCTGGTCTGCTCTCCACACACAAGTCAGAGAGGTCTTTCAAAAAGAAATTCAGCTTATGCTCTTGCCCTGCCTGAAATCCTACAGTCATATCCCACACCAGTTAGGAGGGGATCCGAATGAAGTCTCAACTCCGTCTACAAGGCCCTCTGCAGTAGACACTGCCGCTGCCTGCCCGGATGCCCTCGGCGGGATGCTACACCACCCCCAGCTGCTGTGGGCGTCACCTGCATGTGGCTCCTGGCTGCCCCTTGCTCTGAAGAATCACCCTCCCCCAAAGGGGCTGATGTACCCAGGCCGTTACGTGCCGCCCCTTCTGGGAGCAGCCGGAAGCCAGTGACTGACGGACACGGAGGTCCAAGGCAGGATCAACTCCATGGTGCAACTCACACTCCAGGGCACCCCGGGGGGATCAGGCTGCGGGCGGGTGGGCGGACTCCAGCAGGGACCAGGTCGGCTGACCTCTGCAGCCCATCCTGCCCCCCTCACTCCCTCACGGGTCCCCCCTTAGCGAACCGTTGGCACAAGAATCTCTACCTTGGGCTCCGATGGCAGGAAACCCAGGCTGAGACCCCCTGTGGGATGGAGGCTCGACTGCGTCTCCTACTTGCTCGCACGGGTCCCACCACGTCCACCTTCCCCCGCTCCCCCCGGGGGGCCCCCAAGGTCCGTCCCTGCTTTAGAGCACTTGCAAGTCCTGGTCTTCCCTCTGCAATGCTTTTCCTCCTGATTCTCACGGGTTCTTCCCATCTGTACGTCTTCCAGCCAAACGTCCCTTCCCATCACTGTCTACTGTCTCCCCGTCCTGTTTTCTTCCTGGCCTTTCTCTGCATCCAAAATGCTCTGGTTGCCAAGCTCACTGTCTCCCTCCCCCCACGAGAATGGCAGCTCCCTGAACGCACCATATATTCCCGCATGCATGGTGGGTACAGTGTCTAGGGCCCACCAGACTATTAGGGGAAATGTTTTAATTGATTTTAAAATCCGAAGGAAAAGAAAACTATCATCCAACCTGGATAATATTCATCTTTGCACCCACACCGTCAGAACATACAGGTTCTTTAACTTCTGTTTTTAGGAGGGAGGGGCTCACAAAGGCAAAAAGGGTGGCGACGTTGTCAGTCTTGTTCACAGCGGGGGCCCCAGGCCCCAGACCTAGCCTGACGTTCTACAAGCTCGAGTCAACGGAACGAGGAACTGAATAAGAACTCTCCTGCTTCCTCCAGGAGACCCCATACGTCTCCCTTCTCCATCTTTGAGACCAGAAATGCAGAGAAAGGAAACCCTCTCCCGGTGAAGTCCCCACCTTTCAGGTGTGGCCCTCACGGCCCTCGCCTCCAGCCATGGCCCCTCCTACAGCCTTGCACTAACCACTCCCCACACTCTTAACTGCTTGTGCTGTTTCTCACCTCGGAGCCTCAGCACATGCTGTTCCCTCTGCCTGGAACGTCCTTTCCTCGTGCTCTGCTTGAGAAAACTCCTGGTTATCCGAGCCCCCCAACCCCAGCCTGGCTGTCCCCCTTCCGCCTCGCCTGCACTGCTCAGTACAGTAACCACCAGCTGTTCAGATGTACATTCCAGTTACTTAAAATCAATTAAAATTAAAAATCGCGTTCCTCCGTCGCACCGGCCACATTTCACATTTTCAGTCGTCACACGTGGCTGGTGGCTTCCCGTGTTGGACAGCACTGATGGAGGACATTTCCATCATCTAGAAAGTTCTATCAGACAGAACCGCTCTAGATTTTCATAGGGTGCACCTGTGCCACCCCCTCACTGTACTCCCGTCCCCAGATTGAGATGGTCTATTTCTGGGTTTGTCTCGTTCATTCATTCATTCATTCATTCTACAAATGTGTACGGAGCCCCTGAATCAGGCCAGGGACTGTTCGAGATGCTGCAGATGCAGCCGGAGACAGAACAGACAAAAGTCCCTGCCCACAGGAAGGACAGGCAGACCACAAACCAAATAAATTAGTAAAATACACTGTGGGGCAGATGGAGGTAAGGGATAATTAAAATAAGACAATCAAAGGAGGCCTCGCTGAGAAGCTATCATCTGAGCCAACTCTTGAAGGAGAGAGCCATGCATATGTCCAGGGGAAGAGTATGCCAGGCAGCGGGAACAGCAAGTGCAAAGGTCCTGAGGTAGGGGTGAGCTTAGTGTGCTCAAGGAAGTCAGGAGGCCAGAGTGTCTGGAGTGGGGGAGCCAGGGGCTGGGGGTGGGAGATGAGGTCAGACAGGTGGCAGAAGGGTGCTGTTGGACGGAATGTGATAGTTTCAAGATGTCTCCTTCCTAGAGAAGCTTCCTTCTGTTACTCTGCATCATAACCCCCTCCACTTATCCCAATTTAGAGTTTTCATAATCGTTTCCTTGCTTGTTTATTGTCTGTCTCCCTGGGCATGTAGCCTACCTAATACCCATTCTACTCTTCTTTCTTCACAAGAAAATCCCTATCTTATTTGGCACCTATTGAGAGACTGCATTTCCCAGCCTCCCTTGCAGCTCAGTATGGCCATGAGACAAAGGCCAGCCCAGATGCATAAGCAGAAGTGTTGTTTGTTACTTCTGAGATCCCTCATTAGTAACCCAAGCAGCAGCAATGCACCCTTTTGCCCTTCTGCCTTTCTACTCTTCTTTGTTCCTGCTACCTGGAATGCTGGTGCAATAGCCAGAGCTCCAGCAGCCATACTGGACCATGAGGTGACTTTGTGGCTGGAAGCAAGTCCAGAACGGTGGGGCAGAAAGAGAGAAGGATCCTAGGTCTTCATGACCATGGAGGCTGCCACACCTGCCTGACACTCCCTACTTCAGATTTCTTTAATACGAAAGAGACAGACTTTATCTTGTTCAAGCCACCGTTATTTGGAGATTTCTCTTACATCCAGAAGCAGTCAATTCTGCAAACTCCTCTCCCTTTGGAATGTAAATTCTCTAAGGGAAGTGACTTAGTTTGACCAGTTCACTCTGACACCCCCGGGGCAGAGAAGCAGTCCAGCACAGAGTAGATGCTCAATAAATATAGGTGGGATGAAGGACTGTTGGAGGTGATACAAGACACTCTGACAAGAGGCGGGGAGCGCCCGGAAGGCAAGACCCGAGTCCTGTTCCTCTGAACATCCCTATGAACAGCAGCGGGTCACCCCGAGAAGGCGTCAAGTATGTCTTCTGAAAGCCCACCCATTTTGACAGCCTTCCCCTCCGGCCCTCCTCCGAGAGTGGTTCTCAGCCTGCTTGACTCCTTAGGACTTTGCTGAATGTTTTCTCCGACATTCTCCTTAAGTCCCTTCTCCCTAAGCCTCAAATACCCCACTTGACTTTCCGTCCTGTGCTGCAGCTGCTGATGATCTGGGTGGCATCAGGGAGCCGAACCCCTCCTACTACAGAGGGACTGTGTGGTGGTGCAGAGAGAGGAGCGGATGGGGATGGCAGACGTTTTTGTGCCAGCCACGTTGCGGGCCGCTTTACGTGGAAGACCTCACTGGTCCTCGAGCAAACTCGTGTGTGTGTGAGGGTTGGTGACACCCCTCTGATGACAGAGAAAGGCTGTGATGGCAGAAGGGTCATGTCTCAGGCCAGCCAGTGAGTAAGGAGGAGGTGACAGGGCCGTTGGAGGAGACAGATCGGAGTGGCTGGAAGATCCTCAGATCCAACAGGAGAGGAGAAGCAAGCGGGATGAAGAGCGAAGAAGAGAGGTGTGAGCGGCCAGGAGGGATGCAGGACAGGGGCAGAAGCAGGCTTGAGAGGACTGAGGACAGGGTCCAGGCTGGGGAGGGCGGGCGAGGGGGAAACTGGGAGGAAGGAAGGAAGGGGCCGCAGTATGTGCATGAGGCCTGGGGGTGGGAGGGCTGTGGTCAGAGGAACTGGGCATTGGGGGAGGGGCTCTGAGGGACGGGGGAGGGGTCATAGTGACAGAGGAAGGGTGTCCCTGACTGAACAGGGTGCCGAGTGAAGGGATGGCATCAGACTGGCACACTGACAGAAGACACTTCCAAGTGCTTCGAAGAGGAGGGATCAAATTACAGGTTAGCTTGACGTAAGTGGGGTCACGGCGGCAGAGGAGATATCAGGCTGACAGAGGAGCCATGATAGAGGCTGAGAGGGCGACGGACTGGCTGCCCGAGGGCCGAACCGACTCAAGGTGGGACACGCTGAGCTCCATCCGCAAACGGGAGCATCCTCTCCCGCGCGCAGGGGGCAGCCAATCAGAGTGCGCCAGGTGCGCGTGACGTCACCGGCTGCCAGGCAGACTCCTCCCCAGCCAGCCGGCCAGAGGTCCAGCCTCCGGTGCCAGCTCTCGGGTCTGGCGCCTCAGTGCAGAGCGTGCGCCCTGGGGCTGTGCACAAGCTGGAGGCTGACGACGGGCTGGGAAATTTGCGCCAGGGAGACAGCCCCAGAAAACGGGGGTGGGGAGAGCGGAGAGGGAGACATGGAGAGAGAGAAAGACAGAGATGGAGGTCCAGAGCCGGGAGCTGGAGCGACAGGAGGCGAAACGAGATAACGATGAGGA